ACAGTGAATTCTCGTTGATTTTCATTCGTCTAACCAATATAGGCAAAGGTTGCCATACGTGAGATCGCATTCAATGGGTTGTCGGATCCTTCAAACAAAATACGTGTCACTGCGGTATTGTTTGCTTATATCATGGCATGTTGGAAACGGACATGAAGTATGTAATGATTTTTACTAATATTATTTTATTAGGCCTATGTTGTTTCAAGGATTGCTCAAAACGATTGGCCGGAAGGTTGGCCTAATCTTTTGGATTTGTTGATATCACTTTTAAAATCTGGTTCTCCAGATCGAGTTCATGGCGCGATTAGGGTTATGACTGGTATAAGATACATTTAAGGATGTAATAAATATAATCTCTTATTTGACCTAACACCTGAATTATTTTTAATGCGCTTAATAGAATTCGTCAAAAGTGAGATCACAGAACAACAATTTGCTCAAGTTGCGCCATTGCTATTACCAGAACTTTCAAGAATTTTGCAGTGCGAAAAGGTGCATGATGATTATTCGTTCGTTCAAGGATGTGTAATTCGATGACTGATTGATCAGTTCTTTTTTTTTTTCTTTTAAAAAAAGATTTACTCATACAGGACTCGTGGACGAGCAATTGCAATATTTCGACAATGTATAGAAATATTGTACATGATCAAAGAAGAACATTCGGAGGCTACCGAAACATTTTTAACCACTCCCGTCATTCCCGAGTGGTTGCAAATATTTGTGAATATTTTGAAACAACGAACTACAGATGATGAGGAACGCGAGTATGGGGAGTATGGGTTAAAACTGGAAGTTGTTAAGGTGCACCGAAATGATCATTACTTTGAATATACCATTTTCAATGATGCTAACCGTTATTTCGTGCGTAGTGCCTTAACAAGATTATTAAATGGTTTCCGAAAATGCTTTCATCATCATTGATTGCTTTATTAGAGCCTATATGGACGGATCTTGTTTTTCAACGTGAAAGATATCCTTGTAATAAATATTGTGATTTTCCTATTATCATAATTTAATTATTGAACGATTGATTCATCTTTAACTCTACGGCGTATCCTAACACTTTCATTAACAAGTATGTCCGTCCATCCGGCGACACCGTCAGTATATATCAAGATTCTGATGGCGAAGTTTTTGGTTTCGAAAATTTGCTTTTTGCACAATTCGAATTTGTGGGCCTTTCTGTTCGAAAAAAAGCAGCAAAGCCTCTCTTTGTTCAAAATAATGGAGAAGGTACATTCTTGAAACAAATTATTTGGATCATCCTTTCTTACATGCAGATGACTGAGGAGCAGGTTAGTGGAGAAATCGATAGTGTTTTGATTGTTCATTGAAAGAAAACTGACGAATTAGTTATTAGGTTGAATTATGGTTGTCAGATGCAAACCAGTTCGTCGCCGATGATGATGATGAGACCTTCAACTTTAGTGTCAGAGTCGCATCAGGAGATCTTTTGACCGTAAGAGTTCATTATTATTAAATAACATTTATTTCTCTTATTCAAAAGCTTTGATCATTTAAAAAGGTTTTACTTGATCAATTTCCCGAGCAAACACTACAATCACTTGCGGATTCAACGCTACATTTTATAGAAGAATCCAACAATGCACGATCTTCAGGAGATCCAATTTGGTAGGTTATTTGCATCTTGCAATAAAAAATTTTCTTCATAACGTATCACCGTCATTAGTGATTCTGTGGATATTCGTCATCACTTATAGGTGGAAAATTCAAGAAGCGTGTCTAAAAGCTATCGGATTTGTCTCGAGTGAGCTCACAGCTGCACTACAAGATTCCACTTCCAAAGTCAATTTTGATCTCCCGGGGTTATTCGGTCACGTCGTTCTTGGTCACCTGACCGCGACAGGTTTGTCAGCAACGATGATCAATTCGCGTTATCTATCTCACCTTCGTCATTTACTTCTGTAGATCTTCCCTTTCTTCAGGGGCGTGCTTTAGTGGTTTTTAGCCAGTATGCTTCATTATTACCCAATGAGTTAATATCGCGTTACGTTTCTGCAACAGTAGGTGCAATCCAACAGGACGGCACCATACCTGTTAAAATATCAGCCTTACGTGCTTTACAAAAGTAATTATAAATGGAAGAGGTCCTTTATCGTTTTACTTGCTCGTGGAAGAAAGATAATAAAATGACTATTATTTTTCAGTTTCTGCCGATATTTGGATGATCAATATGTGGCACCGTTTCAATCCAACATTATTGAAGGTGTCGCAAGACTTCTTAATGTTACATCAGGAGACTCTCTCATACTGGTGCTGGAAACCATCCATGAAGCTATTAAAGTAAGTATCGAATAAATGGAAAGGAAATCCGTTCTCCCTCATGGTTCGATTAACATATCGATTATCTGATCAGATAAATAATGAAGTAACTGCGCGCTACGAACACCTAATAGGTCCATTAATTATCGACGTTTGGACAAAATATCCTATTGGTTGGTTTTTTTTTTTTTTTTTAATTTTGTTTGTGTATCGTCCGTCTATTGTCGTACTATTTTCAAGAAAATGTGATGTCAATTACTTCAATTTAGATCACACCGTTGCATCTATAGTTGCTGATATTTTCGAAACATTGGCAAGCAACCCGGACGCTTATGCCGCGTTTCAAGCAAGAACTTTGCCGCCTTTGGCAAATATATTGTTGAGTAATTCTGATCCTGCGGTGACAGCGGTAATGCTTGGATGCTACTCTAATGAACTTGACATTTACACACAAATTTGAATAAAAATCTTTAATCTTGTATAATTCGTTAGTCGGCAATAGATTTGATTTCAAGCCTTGTCAAGGGAGGACCTTCTCCCCTGCCTTCTCAGTATGCTGAACACGTGTTTCCTTCGTTGATGCACTTGATGTTGACCACTGAAGATCGGGAAATTATGCAGGTTATATATATATTATTATTATTATTATTTGACTTCTATTTATTATTATTTCCTTTTGAGTAACGGTTTAAATGTATAATCTTAATTTGATATTTTGTTATTAAACAAACAAATGTTAGAATGGCGAGATTTGCTTGAAATTTTTTGTTCAAAAGGATTGTGAACGAATCGCACAATGGTAAACATTCCCCTTCTGGATATGCTTAAATTCTAATTCTTAACAAAAACTTTTTACGGCAGGACGAACGAAGCAGGTACATCAGGTTTAGATTATGTGATTCAGTATATCGCCAAAGCGCTTCAACCAAACGAAAGCGAGACTGCAACTTTTCTTGGAGATCTTGTCATCAAACTCATCAAAAAGGTTTGTGAGTCCGATAGAAATACAAACATGTTATTAAATTCCATATCTTCCGGGTGATATGCAGTATTATATATTCTTGAGTAGGCTGGAGATAAACTTCTTCCGGTACTTCCAGATTTGCTGAAAGCTGTGGCGGCCAAGCTAGAGGGTGCACGAACTGCAACCTTCATACAGGTGGGTAACACGCGATTCCTAGTCACATTTTGAAGGATTTTTGAACGATTTGAATGAACCAAATAACCCTTTTCGTAATTCGTTAGTCATTGATTTTGATATTCGCGCACGTGATTCTTAACCAACAGTCCACGGTTATTGAATTTTTGGCCAATTTGGATGTTAATGGCCGAAGTGGCATTGAAATTTTGCTTAATACATGGTTCGAGAACCACGACAGCTTTCATGGATATTATAGCATCAGAGTAAGGTATGATTGGCGCGTTGTAACCTCAAGATATTTTATTCATTTGTGATCTCAAATGTGATTCTTTTAATCTCGTAGTGCTATCGCATTGTCTAAACTTTTTCTCTCATGCGATCCGCGAATAGAGAATCTTCAAGTGAAAGGAGACCTGATCGTAACAAGATCTTCGAGTAAGTAAAAATTTTCATTCTTCTCTCGTTGCTGATCATTCGGCGATCTTTGATCATAACCGTAAATCTTACCAATTAGGGATAATGACGCGTTCGAGATCTCGTCAAAGTACTTAATCCATCATGCAAGTCTTCAAGCGTTCTAATGTGCGCTCATTTATACCAATTCAATCCAACTTTCTTAGGTCCCAATCAATATACATGCGTCTCGGCACACACAAAGATCATTAAATTGCTTCTATCGGATCTTCAAAACTCACCGGATGGCGATAATCAGAAACGTTCGGAATTGGATGAACTATTAGAAGAAGAAGAGGCTGTCGAGACGGACGATGAGGTTGAGGTCATGCGTTATTCTTATTTGGGTTAAATCGATTGATCTTATTCGTCTATTTAACTTAACAGGATGATGAGTGGGAAGATGTCGAGGAGCCATCTCCCTTTGCACCCTCGGAAGATTACATAGTCCTTTCCGGTTGGTAGCCTCTCAACTTCTTAAATGTAAATTGTGCAAGGTTTTTTTTTTTTTTTCTTCACGAATTATGCTATTGCATATTCTCTAACACAGAGTACGTCACCAAACGAGATCTTGAAGTTTTGGAGGACGACGATTTGGATGCATCGGATGATCCAATTTATAATACTAATCTTAAGGTTGGTGAAATGGTGGTACGCCAATTCGAATATCAAAAAGTTGCCTAATTCCAGTCAAATTTCATGCCTTAGGAATATCTGATGGAATTTTTCCGGCATTGTGCTACTCAAAATATTAACAATTTTGCTCAGATTTGTTCTAATCTCAACCAAGAAGAGCAACACAGACTGCAATACGTAATTAGCGGTAGACAGATATGACTTCGAATTGATTTTTTTTTTTTTACTTTATAAAATTTGATCACTTTAAGCGGACCTTGATTTCATTTATTTTAACAAAAAAACAAAAAAACAAAAACCGTTATTGTAATTTATTCACCACTCTCCTCATTTGCATGCCGACCACCAAGAGAAGTGTAGGCGTGCCTGCCGAAGAATAATCGCTCAACGATAACATATAGAATCAGGGTAAATAAAGATAAGAACGCTAAACATCGGAACATTGCTACAGGCCCATATTTGGAATAAACAAAGCCTCCAGTGATCGAGCCAATTCCGGTTGCCAAACCGTTGAATACGCCCGAAAAAATACCAAGTGACGTGGCCCGAAACGACTCGGGAGCAAAGTTGTATGTAAGCTCAACCCCGGCGGGCCACACCAGCGCAAACAGAACGCCCTGTAGCTGTTGTAAAGCATTCATTCATTCAATAAACACAAAATCGGTGTTATGGAAACATAATTGATCGTATTGTTATCTACCATCTCTATGGGCAGAGCCATCCATGGATCCAGTTTCTTCCCGAGAAATCCATATAAGCTTATTCTGATGATCGAAGCGAGTTGACCAATGATTATCATATTCCTCGGGCCCATAAACGCCATAACGTGTTTTGAAAAGTAAAAAAATACAATTTCCAATGAAACCCCCATCGCTTGACTTAAACCCAGTAGGGTTCCACTAGCGTTGAGATATTCTAGTGAAAATATTAAGGTTGGATCAATCGTATCACGACGGTTGTGAATATCTGAATTCGAACTTGGAACACTGTGACGAACCTGAAAGATACAAGGAAAGGTAGGTGGCAACTGTCGCCTTTGCTACCGCAATTGACAGCACGACGAACAAGAAAAATAGGAACTGAGGATTCCCAATCAATTGGAGCATGATCGAGGCAAAACTGGATAGATATGAGCGATACTTCGGCAGCGATATGTCATCGTCATCCAGTTCGATCTCTCTCGAGGGAACAGCTGTGTCGACATCACCGGGTTCCATCTCCTTCAAGGCAATGGCTGTATCGACGTCGAGATCATCCTGGTGCACTTCAAAATCGATCGGATTGATACAGTAAATGTGTATGGCGGACATACTCATGAAACACATGTAGCCAACAAATATAATATAAACGGAACTGTGATCAATCAGAAATCCCATAATGGAACCGGTGATTCCACAAGATATCGTGCCCCACAGACGCTGTAGGAATTTTCTTTCAGCGACGCATCTTTGGTAAAAAAGCAACACGCAGTCATAACTAAGAACAGACCTGTTTCCCATACTCTATTTGTGATCCTGATTTCCTTAGTGTGCCTAGATAACCAAGATCAATCAATATGTTACAAAAAAAAGCAATGATATGCGTATATCCCATGAACTCGGTAAACGCTACCTAAAGTGAAATTATCCACTAATGGTGCTATCCCACCATTAAACAAGGACAAAACTGAATGATTGATCAACAAGCCCGCGAACCCAAACAATTTCCCGACTATTGGTACGGCGCTCGTGAGTAATATCGCGCAGGATACGCATGACAAAAGCGTTTTACGATGTGCATTGTGTTTGTCAGCAAGTGACTGTATTGTAAGATGCAAATTAATCAAACGTCTTCTTTCCATTAAGAATAACGAAATAATTCGACAGGGAGAAGGTTAGATTTCATCATTAAAAGGAATTCGATAAATCACTACAGACAGTCCAAAGCCCAGAGCTAAAGAACTCGACAAAAGGTACCACCGAAAATAATATTCCAATTTCCGCCGGAGAAACAAGCAAGACCTTGGTCAAGAAGATGGACATGTAAGTTCCCGCGGAACAGGCGGCTGCAAGAAGAAGCGCATAGAGGAGCTTGAGTCTCAGAAAAGAAGCCATGCAAGGGAGTACGTGAGTGCGTACATTCACGTAAATTTATACACGTAGCACGTTTCAAAAGGAGCAAAGGAGCGGCCAATCGTTACCTATTCGGGCGGTGTGATTGGATTCGGATGTCAGCTGCCGAAGAAAAAGATCGCGTTATATACTGTATATACGGCATTTATGACATGCATGCATCATCTTCATTCGCGTCGGGACATGAGAAATGCGAAAAGAAAGAGCTGATCTTATGTTTAAACTAAAAATTATATAAATGGGAATTTATAATACTTTTTATTGGTGGTAGCAATTTGAAAAGTCCCAGATTTCACCCTCTAAAAAAATTTACAAAACGTCGGGCACACGACTGACAAAAAAAAAAAGAAATTGCATAATTCAAACGACAAAAATCTGCCTTAACTAAACAGACAACCATTGAATGCGATCTCACGTATGGCAACCTTTGCCTATATTGGTTAGACGAATGAAAATCAACGAGAATTCACTGT